TGAGACCATTTTTGGTTTTGACGCAACTTAGAGATTCTGAATACATTGACCTGATGATAGTATAGAATTTTCCTGCGATACCGTTTTGTGCCAGTTTGTGAAACAAGCCTTGATGCCAAACTGAATCAAAGGCTTTTTTAAAGTCAATGAAGCATGCAAAGACTTTTTTCCCTTTTTTTCAGGTATTTTGCAAGAATTTGTTTCAGAACAAATATGTGATCACTTGTTCTGAACTTGGGGATGAATCCAATCTGTTCTTTACATCAATATATTTAATAAGTCTTTGTTTTAAAACTGCTGTGAACAATTTGCTCAAGGTGTTTAACAGTGTAATGCCCCTATAGTTACTAGGGTCAGATTTATCACCCTTTTTAAAGACTGGGGTTATTATTCCTGTATTCCAGTTAGTGGGGAAAAATCCACTTGTAAGAAACATATTAAAAAGTTTTTGAACTGGTATAATAAGAGTGTGCCTGCCAGCTTTAATCATCTCATTTGAGATGTTATCTTTTCCTGGGGATTTCCCATTTTTAAGGTTATTAATAGCTTTTTGGATTTCAAGTTGTGAGATTGGTTCATTTAGTTCTTTTGAATCTGTTGATAATTTATTTAAGATATTAGACTCATGTTTGATGTTTGTATTAATATCTTGACTGTTATGTATGTTACTTCCTAATGCCAGGAAATTACAAGAATTGACAAATAAGATTAAATCACTATCAAAATGCAAATTTATTTGTTCTGTGTGCACAAGGTATCACAGGATTGTACAATATATAAAAATGGTCAAATACTATACATACCGGTACCTCAAATATCAAGAACTCATGACTATTAATTCTCCAATGGTATGTGACTAGACTATAAATACACATTAACTCACAGAATCAGATCATATAATATCACCAGCATTCCTGCTGTATTCAATTCGTTACAAACTATGGCAAAGCATTCAGAAAATCCCATGAATATATTATCTTTACACCAGACTACGGCTGGGTTGACAAACTGTATATGGGTCAGACCATGTATGGGTTATACATCATACAAGGGAAATCATATGGACACAATATGTGCATCCAATCTCAACCATGACATTTGAAAGATTGCATGTATATAGTTTACATGAATAGTCTTCTCATGTATTCTGATTGGTTCCATTGCCAGTGGATTCAACTGATTTGTGCAGTTGTTATAACATATAACTCCTACATGCATGGAGGTTTGAATGCCTCACTCAAGTACTGCAGTGCTGTATTCATTCATCCATTTCAATCTTTGTAAATACTGTGCATTATATCACATACTGTCCAATATACAGTCTGTGTTTCCTTACCTTGTTCTTACACCATCCAGTATACAGTGTTTCCTTACCTTGTTCTTATACTGTCCAATACTGTGTTTCCTTACCTTGTTCTTATACTGTCCAATATACAGTCTGTGTTTCCTTACCTTGTTCTTACACCATCCAGTATACTGTGTTTCCTTACCTTGTTCTTATACCATCCAGTATACAGTGTTTCCTTACCTTGTTCTTATACCGTCCAATATACAGTATTTCCTTACCTTGTGTTTATACTGTCCAATACTGTGTTTCCTTACCTTGTTCTTATACCATCCAATATACAGTTTTTCCTTACCTTGTTCTTATACCATCCAATATACAGTTTTTCCTTACCTTGTTCTTATACCATCCAATACACAGTATTTCCTTACCTTGTGTTTATACTGTCCAATACTGTGTTTCCTTACCTTGTTCTTATACCATCCAGTATACAGTGTTTCCTTACCTTGTTCTTATACCGTCCAATACACAGTGTTTCCTTACCTTGTGTTTATACTGTCCAATACAGTGTTTCCTTACCTTGTTCTTATACTGTCCAATATATAGTGTTTACTTACCTTGTTCTTATACTGTCCAATATATAGTGTTTCCTTACCTTGTTCTTATACTGTCCAATACAGTGTTTCCTTACCTTGTTCTTATACCATTCAATATACAGTATTTCCTTACCTTGTTTTTATACCGTCCAATACAGTGTTTCCTTACCTTGTTCTTATACTGTCCAATACAGTGTTTCCTTACCTTGTTCTTATACTGTCCAATACACAGTATTTCTTTACCTTGTTCTTATACTGTCCAATATATAGTGTTTACTTACCTTGTTCTTATACTGTCCAATATATAGTGTTTACTTACCTTGTTCTTACACCATCCAGTATACAGTGTTTCCTTATCTTGTGTTTATACTGTCCAATACTGTGTTTCCTTACCTTGTTCTTATACCATCCAGTATACAGTGTTTCCTTACCTTGTTCTTATACCGTCCAATATACAGTATTTCCTTACCTTGTGTTTATACTGTCCAATACTGTGTTTCCTTACCTTGTTCTTATACCATCCAATATACAGTTTTTCCTTACCTTGTTCTTATACTGTCCAATATACAGTGTTTCCTTACCTTGTTCTTATACCGTCCAATACACAGTATTTCCTTACCTTGTGTTTATACTGTCCAATACTGTGTTTCCTTACCTTGTTCTTATACCATCCAGTATACAGTGTTTCCTTACCTTGTTCTTATACCGTCCAATACACAGTGTTTCCTTACCTTGTGTTTATACTGTCCAATAAACAGTGTTTCCTTACCTTGTTCTTACACCATCCAGTATACAGTGTTTCCTTACCTTGTTCTTATACCGTCCAATACACAGTGTTTCCTTACCTTGTGTTTATACTGTCCAATACAGTGTTTCCTTACCTTGTTCTTATACTGTCCAATATATAGTGTTTACTTACCTTGTTCTTATACTGTCCAATATATAGTGTTTACTTACCTTGTTCTTATACTGTCCAATACAGTGTTTCCTTACCTTGTTCTTATACCATTCAATATAGTGTTTCCTTACCTTGTTCTTATACTGTCCAATATATAGTGTTTACTTACCTTGTTCTTATACTGTCCAATACAGTGTTTCCTTACCTTGTTCTTATACCATTCAATATACAGTATTTCCTTACCTTGTTTTTATACCGTCCAATACACAGTGTTTCCTTACCTTGTTCCTATACTGTCCAATAAACAGTGTTTCCTTACCTTGTTCTTATACTGTCCAATACAGTGTTTCCTTACCTTGTTCTTATACTGTCCAATATATAGTGTTTCCTTACCTTGTTCTTATACTGTCCAATACACAGTATTTCTTTACCTTGTTCTTATACTGTCCAATATATAGTGTTTACTTACCTTGTTCTTATACTGTCCAATATATAGTGTTTACTTACCTTGTTCTTACACCATCCAGTATACAGTGTTTCCTTACCTTGTTCTTATACTGTCCAATACAGTGTTTCCTTACCTTGTTCTTATACTGTCCAATAAACAGTATTTCCTTACCTTGTTTTTATACCATCCAATATAGTGTTTACTTACCTTGTTCTTATACTGTCCAATATATAGTGTTTACTTACCTTGTTTTTATACTGTCCAATAAACAGTGTTTCCTTACCTTGTTCTTATACCGTCCAATACACAGTATTTCCTTACCTTGTTCTTATACCGTCCAATACACAGTGTTTCCTTACCTTGTTCTTATACCGTCCAATACACAGTATTTCCTTACCTTGTTCGTATACCGTCCAATACACAGTGTTTCCTTACCTTGTTCTTATACCGTCCAATACACAGTATTTCCTTACCTTGTTCTTATACTGTCCAATAAACAGTATTTCCTTACCTTGTTCGTATACCGTCCAATACACAGTGTTTCCTTACCTTGTTCTTATACCATCCAATACACAGTATTTCCTTACCTTGTTCTTATACCGTCCAATACACAGTATTTCCTTACCTTGTTCTTATACCGTCCAATACACAGTATTTCCTTACCTTGTTCTTATACCGTCCAATACACAGTATTTCCTTACCTTGTTCTTATAATTCTAGCATCAGACTCTGCTCTATTAATAGCAATAGTTGCAGCTGTTTCTGCTTCTCTTCTTGCTGTGTTTGCTTGTGTTATTTCTATTGGTCTTTCATTCCTGGCAACCTACAAACAGTATATACAGGTAATGGCTGATCATGGCTGTGTAAATGCATTTCATTCACATGCAATATGGGGACCCATACAGAATGCATGTTTTTTACATTTTACAATTACAGCCATTTAACATTCAGTAGGTATATGATATTGTTACACTCTGATGCAACATTCATTACCGTACACATGTTTTTACCATACATACAGGTTTCAAGTACTTAAGGTAGAAGCCTAGGCATAATTTTTGACAAAATTGGTCATAAATCGCATGACAATGTTAATTAGTTTATTATGTACAATCATGAAGCCAATGTCCCATGGTACAATGAAATAGCATTATTTCAGAACAACAAAAAGTACTCCATCATTAACAATATATGATTTCTTCAGCCTATGTCACCAGGCTAGGTTTTTGAGATATTGCATAATATCTGCCATAGGAACCTGAGGTAAAAGTGTTATAATAGTGTAAAAATGGCGACTTTCCACTAAAATACAACCATCAATTTCTCGAAAAAAAGGCTGGTGACCCCCAACTTTTTTTTAGGTCAATATCCTTATATTACCTTGGAATACATTTTATTGTAAAATGAATAAATTCTGGGTTTATAAATTTATGAGTAGGCTTCTACCTTAAATGGATTTCATGTTAGTACACATATTTCAAGTTCATATACAGGATTCAAGTTCAAGTATCACTAGTTTCCTGTTTGTATACAAAATATTTCATTCAATATGTAGATAAAATGAGAAATTAACAATACCTCAATGTTTTCTCTAGCAGCTTCTTTTTGTCGTATGGCTTCTTCATACTGCTGTGGTCTGGCGATATTATTCACCTGCAAGTATTTGTTGTTATTTGTTTATTTCCTAACATACATGTATCATGTATCACACCATAGGAAAAAAAGCTGAACATTTATTTCACAATCAGTATACAAGTCTCATAGAAGCTATTTTGTAACATGACTTGGTGTCAATTATTGTAGTCAGCACCAGGTATTACGGCAAATCATCGGCTCATAATAAATCACCCACTACAATCATTTATTCAATCAAAGAAAGCTTAGAAAGAACTTCCATGTGCTGAGAGTATTGTAACACATTAAATATAATTCGGAATTACTTAGCTGAAAACTAATTATGCAAATCATAAAAATAATATGAACAGATTTTAGTGAGGTCTGCGCAATGTAAAATCTATGTATCAAGTTTAATTGAAGTGTGATTAGAACCAAAAAATTATGAATTATTATGCTAATTAGGGAATTAATATGAACAGATTTTTACCCCAAACTAATTAGGTTTGTACATTGTCCTACAGCATCTTTGTACTAAGTTTCATTGAAATGGAATAATTAGTACTTTAGATATCAGTGTGAAAGCTTAAAATTGGTTAATTATGCAAATTAGGTAATTAATATGTACAGATTTTAACCCACAATTATCGAGGTCTGTCTATTGTCCTACAGCATCCATGTACAAACATTCATTGATATGTGATGATTAGTACCGGAGATATCAGTGTGAAAGTTGGAAATTGGTTAATTATGCAAATTAGGCGATTAATATGCACAAATATTTACCGAAAACTAATTGGGTCTCTGCATAATTCTAGATTCATTGAAATGTGATGATTAGTATTTTCGATATCAGTAGAAAAGCTGAAAATTAATTATGCAAATTAGGTAATTAATATGCCACAATTATTCAGCCTAAAACTAATCAGTCTCTG